TACTAGAATTTCTTCACTTATATTGTTATTGCTGAATCGAATTTCAATTCTCTATCGAACGATGCCAAAATGAATTATGCGGCTCAAATGGGGCTTGAGAAACTTCGAAAGAAGCAGCGTCACGTTTGAGTCGATTTTGCAACTCAAAAAAAACGTGCAATTCTAAAACTTCTCGAAATAAATACTTTTTTGAAAAAACTGCCAACACCTCTCTGAAATAATGTAACAATGAGCGTTCTTGCTCATTTTGCTTCCGAGAAATGAGCAAAAACGGGACGGAAAACATAAAATTTTGGCATAATTTTGCACCTAAGTAAGTGTCTGTAATATTCTATTATATATATGTGTATCTTTGTTTCTCTATTTTCTTTGCGATGCTTCACTTTCTAAAAAGGCCATTTAGTTCTCTTTGAACTGATGTAGCAATGAGAGTTCTTGCTCATTTTGCTTTCGAGAAATGATCAAAAATGAGACCAAAAACATGAAATTTTGGCATAATCTTGCACTTGAGTGATACTGATATTCAAATTATGATCTCTGGATCAAAAATTACTCGAATTTCTTCACTCATATTGTTCTGGCTGAATCGAATTTTCAATTCTCTATCCAACGATGCCAACACGAATTCTGTGGCTCAAATGGGGCTTGAGAAACTTCGAAAAAGYAGCGCCATTTTCAAGTCGACTTTGCAATTCAATAAAAATAAAACGCAAATCTAAAACTTCTTGAAATCAAGACTTTTTCCAAGTTTCAGAAACAACACAACACTGATGAAGATGTTGAAACTATGCAATTAAATATCCATGAATAGTAAAAAAAATATCTTTAAATGAGAATGAAAAGGGCATTTGTTGTCCCAAATAATAACGATTCAGAGTGAGAAAAAGTTAGAATTAGAATTAAAAGAATTATTTAAGAAATTGTCCTCGAAAGTAAACTACTGAACATCAATACGTAAAGGGCAAAGTATTGATCCAAAATATATCAGTCTGTACGATTTTGTATTGTATAACAGACCACATAAACTCTTTTCTAGACAATTATTTTATTTCCCTTTCAAAAGCTTTCAGCTTTTTAATAGATTTTTAGTGACACTGAACAAGTGCAGTTTAGTACATACAAACAGAGCCCACTGTATGAAAGGAATGCAAAGCGCATATGAAAAGTATATGAAAAAATTACAGGAAAGCTGCTATTCATTTGCATAGAAACGGCAATATAATTTACCTGTGTGCAACTAAAAGTATACAAAAATATTGCACCGCGTAATTTGCAAATAGAAAATACTCACTTCGTATTAAAGCTTCTCCTTCCATAAAACTGTGTTAAACCATAGACAAACTAATATTTACACTTAACCCAAATATATTTTTTAATTAATTCACGCTTCTACTTCTTAACATACAATGAAACTTTATTAATTGCTTGGCGCGAAGATAAATGAAACGCACTTCAAATTTGAAAAAGTGAACAATGCACTGCATTTACTTTACAAAACCTGAATAAACACATTCCCGATAAAGAGGAGCTTGAAGTCAGTCGGCTAAAGTTTGAATTAAGTACACAGTTTTTTAATTATAAGAAGATCGTTGAACCCGGTATTTATATGTATAAAAATACGTGAAATAACGAAGCTTTTCAACTTTATTGTGATAAACTATTTTGCACTGTTTATATCAATTCTGGGTCCTTTTTGAGAATAGTGGTATAAACGTGGTCTTATTTCAGTGCCTGCTATCCACTATCCATACAGAAATATTGATAAAATTTGGCTTTCGATACTTTCAACCATTCTGCATATAATTTTTTAACTAGATAGATTTTAGACTTGATTTTTAAAAGCTGAAACCTGATATGAGGCAAAAAAGGAGACTTAATAGTGCAAGTTAATAGGAATAAGTTGTTTGAAGCCCCTTTAGTAAGTGAGCATTTTTTGCAAAACGTCCTTGGTCGAAAACCAGTCATAATCATGCATTTTAATATCTCAAATATGCAGTGCTTATCTCAGTGCGACAATAAAAAGTTGTTATAGTCTGTTCAGCAGAAGCAATGAAGAACCAGGAGACCGTATTGATCGCCTCGAAATCTGGAACTTTGTCAGGCAAATATAATAAAGACAGGTAAATGTCGACAACATGGCGGCTAAACGAGTCTATAAAATGGCGGACTATGCGCAATTGTTTCATGATTATATATATAATCAATAAAGCATTCTACGTAAATTCCCCAAAGGGCATTCCCAACCCATCTCCACGAAGCAAGATTTACTAATGCTATGGATACCGAAGCAAATTAAAATAGCATTCTTTGCTACAGTTTATCCAAAAAACTAACTGAAACTGATTGCAAAATCTAGATAAATGTAATAACAAAATACTGGTCTATCAGAGGCAAAAATTGGCTTACCATTATATTTCAAATTGGCCGTTGTAGCACTAAGTTTATAGTTCGAGGTGTTGGAGGCCATGACGGAGAACTCTGGATGCTGGGCGACTGAAGCTGGTTCCTATAGAGATGAGTCGGATCCAGCTTGCCAAAAGGTCAAAGAGGTGACCTACATTGAGGATGGCGCGCGCTCCTGTGACGTCGTCTGGCAAGGGAGGAGCCGGAACCGCCTCCACGGAAACTCAATAACGAAGTTTGCGTAGGCGGCAGTGGCATCTGGGAATGTTTAGTTTTTTAGTTAGTTTTCAGTTTGGGGCCGCAGGGGGGCGAAGTGAAGGGTAACCGTCCGTTTTGATTGAAATTATGGAGATGGAGTATTGTGGCGCCCGGCTAAAAAATGGGAGCAGTCGAAAGGTTCTTTTTTAATAAGATGGCGTCGGCCCAAAAGTAGACGATAAAAACTTTGCTAAATGGGGCAGTAATGAGGGTTGAATACATAAGGCCTAATGTTAAGTTGGTTTGCTACCAGGAGTAACACATTCATGAACACGTTATTTGAAGATTGATGGTTTGTTAGAGGACATTAATGCGAAATTAAGCGAACTTCTAAACTAAGTTTCCGACCCTTTCCTTGAACTTAACAATTGAGTTGACGGTAAATTGACTCACAATTTACCGTCAAGTCCTACCAATGGAACTCACGGTCTGGTGAATCCTAATTGGGTTAATTACCAGCTAAAGCTTATGCATTCAAAGCAAAAATGTTGTGCCAATTTTTGCTCAATACAATCAAAATAAATCCAAGTATGTTTTGTAAAGCTTTCTGCTAACTCCTGGTTTCCACGTATTCCAATAAAATTATTACTTTTTACTACTCACAGCTTTTAAATGAGAGAATTTCAAAAGATCATATGCATATAAGCAACTCCTCAACAGAATCAACGTTGCGCTGATAAATTATGATTAAATTTGGAACTGGAAAATTAGTGTTAGAAATTACGTTCCTACAGGGTGCCAAATGAAACAATACAAAATTAGTGAAAGTTCCGAGAGCTCTCGGTCAGAAAAAAACTCTTTCACTCGAAAAACGTTTATAAATTGATCGCTCATTTCGTTTATTTACAGGGTGGCCTAAAAAACAACTTTTTGGTCTAGTAGTGGCTATATATATCTTTCTCTTAAACCGATTTTCAAAATTTAGGGCTCATACTAAAGCTAAAACTTCATAGTGGACTTAAGAAAAATATTTAATATACCGGACTGCATAAATGAACGAAATATTTAAAAGTAAACTTAACTTCCATTCAAAGTCTGCCAAGATCAAATAATTCGGGCGCAAGTTTGATTTTGATCATTTTTTATGCAACCACTATATGACTTAAATTGTTAATAGCTAAGTTTTAGCTTCAACATCAGCTCTAGGTCGAGACAATCAAAAAAAATCTAAAAGTTGATTTTTTCAACCATGCCGTTAATAGAAGAGGTGACCCAAAAATTTAAATGCTGTTTCAAGCTATCTGGTATATCTTCAAACTTTTGGTGAGGACGAAAACTTTTTTTTTGTCCAACTAGGAGCATGCCAAACTCTCGAAAATTTTGCATTATTTTATTTGCCACTCTGTAGAAAATTTGTCTGTAGTGCTCAAAATTTGTCCTGTTGAGCAGTTCATTTTAGCTTAGTCCATTCGGTCTGTTTGGTTTTAAGAAGCATTGCCAATATGTGCTATATGATATTTGAGTCCTGCAAACAGAAAGTTACATCAAACAGAAAAAGGTTTTCGATTCAATAAATCGGAAATTTTCAGAACAAATTTGCTTAATCCGTAATGCAAATTCTGGCAACTGAAATATGGCTTGAAACCATTGAAAAATGAAAATATAACGCAAATTTGCTTTTTTTATTGGTATAGTTGGTCATCAAAAACGTATTAACTTATAAAAAGTATAAGGCAGAAGGAAACGTTTTAAATAATTCATTCGGATTAACTTAACATTTTTTTTCTGCGTTATAATGTAGATGTCTTACTACTTTGGATGCCACAACAAAAGTTGTCACAAGATTTACCATTTCTTCTCTTCCGTTTCATACGTTTTTGTACAACTGAACAAAAGTTCAGAAAGTTCAAAGACTTTCAACAAAGACAAATTTTAAAAACATGAAACAAATCAAAATCACAATTTTTTCTAAAAGGGTTGAAAAAAAGTTGATTAAGTGGAGTAGATTCTTTGGAAACCTGACTAAAACTAAGATGACAATGTTTTCGACCCTACAAAAGAAAGTATTCACTGTAGAATCTGTGTTTCCAAATATTTTGCTAGAAATGTTTGACTTGAAATGAAAAACTTAACATATTAATATCACATAGAATTTCTGAATTTTTTCTAAGTAATTTTAAAATATTTGTGCGACTAGATAACACATTTACAAGATAAGGATACAATGCATGGAAGAATCGGAGATCATTTCTTTGCTGATTTGCCTAATCTAGCCTATTTTCCACGCGTAGATTGATGAGACAGATCGTTAACTACTGAATTCTACTTATATTTGCATATTTTCCCAAATAGTGTATGTACTACTTCTGCCATCAATTCCGATTCCTTCCAAATACTGTAAAATATACAGAAAATACTCACTTGCATTGACCTCATGTATGTATGTAAGAACATTATGTATGTATTTGTTTAATGCTCAATACAAAAATATTGGTCGCATCTTGGTTTATTAATCGTAACGAGATCCAGGCGAACTAAATTAATTATATTTTCAGCATTCGTTAGCTAAGTCCAAAATCTCCGGCACAAAACGACGCCAATTTTATCTGTATTTATCCAGGAAGTCTAACTTGTAACGTAATTTAATGGAAGAGAGCAAGATGACTTTGGAAATTTCTTTAATATTGTTGCCTACCAATGTACTTAACCATTACTACTACGTACTTCATTATAGACAAATATTAGCAAACGTGTTTACACTACTGAAAGCTTTGATAAGCTGCTAGAGTTGCAACAATTAATGTTTATTTACTTCTGTTTACGCCACTACATAGTGAATTAATTAGTCGGTAGTGAAATTTAGCATTGTAATTCCGCGCTATTAAGTCAAAAACGGTATTAAAAATGTATGAGCAAATGGTAAATAATTTAGAGGCGCTTCCGAATATAGTTAGCCTTTTACATTTACCACGTCATAATTCAGTTCGGAGTCATAATTATAAAACAATGATACAAAAAGTCGATTCGTAAACTATTGCAACTGTAAGTTGTTGTTTCTATAATAAATATAAAATATAAATAATGTATGTAATACAACCACCTAGCAAAAAATTAGAGGAGTTCCCTAAAACATAAACACATCTTACAGTACGTTAGTGAGATTAAAAGCACGCAAAAAACTTCTATATTGTAGCTTTTCCCAGCTAATTTAATTAATTAATTTTCAAATAGAGCATTAATCCAATTAAATCTGATGCCTTCAAACAGTAAATTTGCAGGAAAAACTTCAAAAATATTAGTATGAAAACCCCATTTAATTTTACAAATTAATTATTACAGATTGCACAGTGCGAAAATTCTTTGAGAGTGGTTATTAGTCTTATAACGGGAACATATGTTAATTGGAAATATATTGATAAGTACTATCTAACACTCAACGCGTTTAATTCAAACATTATAAAAAGTTTGCTGCTTTTACTCGACTGGTTTCATTAAATCTGACTGGTGCTCTTCTAGTAACTGAGTTTTGTGATTCTTACTACCATAATAATGGAAAGGTAAGTAGACATTTTATAGAAATTAAGTAAGCAGTTGAATTGAATATAAATGTCACAAATCCCAAATTAGTTTCAATCGCTGCTAAACCATAAATTATTGTTGCAAGCGAAATTTAATTGACTGGAAATCAGAGTGCATAGCGTTTCATAATTTATAATGGTATGATACACATTTTTTTATAAAAAAGAAGTTTTATGTTTTATTTTAATTTTGTTGGAAGAACCTAATGCTAATTGAAATTGATTTCCTCTTCAATTTCAATTGATATGGAAGAGAAAAAACAATGTTTATAGCATACATTTTAATATAAGTTCACAGTATTTCGAAAGGCTGATGCAAGGCGAATTTGATATTTTTTACATAATTTTGAATATATATTTTATTTTATTAGTTTTGAAACTATTTAATATACAGGGTGATTCAAAATTGGCGTTATCCTTTACAAGAACTAATTGGTTGTTAAATAATTAATAAATTTAGCTTAAATGTCCTTAAGACTTTTTGTGACAAATAAAAACAGTAATAACCCATAAATTAAATCAATGTGAAAAGTATTTAATTTTTGTTAAATCTCAACCGAAAAATACAAAAAAAAAGGACAGACTTTTTCCTTTTCTATGAACCGCCGAATAGTTGTATTGTACATATGGACTAACATGAAAAAAGTTATAGTTTAAACGCGAGAAATCTTCAGAAAGCAATTAGATTGTCGCCCAATTAATTTCATTGAAAAGCGGGAAAGTTCTAAAACATTCAAACTGATATATTTTGCAACCCTCTTGTGCTATCTGAACTCATTCATTTGTGTAAATACTTTCTGGTTACATTTGCTATAAATACAATTTACACAGTATTTACTTAATGCCAATCGGAAATTGAGCTGTTTATTTTATGCTGACGCTTTTTGCAAACTTCTTCTATTTACGTAAGTGTGCGTTTTTTCAATATATTTTTGTGCTTTTCAGTAAAACCTTCTAAATCTCCTATAGAATATAATAATGCAGCCAATTCTAAATCCCTCCATCTTCCGCAAATACAATTTTTTTTTTATTTTGTATTGACCATACACTTACACAGGTGAAAGTTATTTTTTTTAGTTTTATGGTTTATTGCTAATATATTCGGATCAATAAAAATGCAAAATGATGCAATGCAAAGCCTTTCTCTCAAAAATAGGAAAAGCTTAAAAGTATATTTTCAACTATTTTTGAACAAAAAAATTC